TTATAACAAATGGGACTTCAATATGTGCTGGTGGTATTGATAAAACTGGAAGCTTTCCAGAATTATTTCAGTTTATCTTCATGGCATGAAAACTAAATAGAGGTAATAACACTGAATACTAGTCAACTGAACATTTTAAATGAACAATTAGATAATCTTTAAATTTAAAAAAATCTCCATGGAATATAAAAAGAGTAAGGGCGAAAAGCTTTTACCTAAAAGGACATAAGAAAATACAAGCTGTTCTGGAATTTATAAACAATACCTTGAGAGATTGCTTTAATAAATTCAGGAATAAAAGAGGACTAATAGGCAAAAAATGCAAAAAAAACACAATGAAAACTGAAGCTGTGTTTGATTCACTGATGTACATATAATATGTTTTATAAAAAAGCATGGTTTTAAATACATTTCCCAATAAATTTCCCTAGAAAACTCCAAAGTTTTATTGAAGTATTATTAAACAACATGTCAGGTAGGATGACATTTATTAATGATTAGTGAAAACAATCTTAAGCTAAAAAGTCATCTTTACCAATGTATATTAAAAAAAGAGATAGCCAGTAAAGATGTATAAAATTACTTCTTTCTTTAGAAATATGTTTCTATGTTTTACATGCTTACTGCAAATGAAGAAAAATATTCTAATGAAGTGAAAGTACATGATAGGTAAACTGAATCCCTGATGTAAAGCTCTCCTTTGAGTTCTTGACTATGGGGCTGATCTTTACAGGCTGAAATTATTCTTGCAGACATTTGAAATTTAGGAGGATCCCAATTTTCGTGCAGAAGTCAGCTCAGTTGTAACTATATTAAATGGCACATATTGTATATACATGCATTTCTACATGCTTATTAAAAAATAATGTAGCATATACTTTGTTTCAAGTGAACATTTACTTAAGAATACGTAGTAATGTGAGCATGACACACTGATTTATGTGGGAGCATGAAATTAGTTTTATGTTACAGTATTTTATGTCTGCCAAATCAGAGAAAGTTATAAAAGCTCAAGGGTTTTTCACCTGACAGGGGTATTTTCCTGTTTATTTTCTTAAATAGTAACATTATATTTTACTTAAATGTTGTGTGAGATTTTTTTTACTCTTTTTGTGAGTAGTTGAAACATGAAAGCTGAAACATGAAAGGTAGTTTCATGTTACTTTAGAGTATTTATTACTTTTGAAGTATTTTGGTTTTAAAAAGGAAATTATAAAATTTAATTTTAAATGAAAAACATTGAAAGAGAAAAGGAGAACTGTGTATTCTCTGTTTGTATTTTCTGCTTCTGTCGAGGTCAAGATTGAAGGCACTTGAGGTATTTCATGTTCGGACTCAGGTGTTTATTATTTCTTATCAGTGAAACAGCTTCATGACTGAATTCTACAGCATTTTATTAGTAAGGTATAAAATAGCTAACTATCTCTTGTTACAAGGTCTTTTAAGACTAAACTATCTAATTTAAAAATGGCACCTAGATTATTTTCCTTTTTAACCCAATGAGTCAAAGCCTGCAATGCGGACTTTTCTGTTCAATTGCAAAACATCTTCTAAACCCATGAAGAAGAAGGTAGAAGATGAAGAAGAACAACCTTCCTCCTTCTTAAAACTTCTATCTTGCTTCATATTTATTTCTGTATTGTATAACTCCAAACTCTAAGTTTTCTATCCTGTGATATTACACACTTCTAACTAACTAACTACCTGTAATCCCAGTGTTATTAATCAATTTTGGAAGCTTTCTCCATAGCCTCAGGTCAAATGTAGTGCTCCCTTGTGAGTCTGTGTCTTTCAGCACAGAAAGTTTAAGATTATCAGCATCCAGGATTCCAACAAAGAACAGTATACACACAGCATTTGCAGTAATAATTTGTTCAGAACGTGTTGTGCTTGCCTGAGAAAGGATTTGTCTAATTACTGAAAAATAACCTTCCAAATCTGTGATTTTAACCTTTGCATAATGAAAGGTAGCAGACCATGTAAAGATCTACTATAGCAGTTTCCACATTCATTTTTCACAATTATATTTTGCATTTTGGTTGTTAGTGAGTGGTTCAGGAACAAAGGCTTCTTTCACATTTCAGAGGTGCATGTCCACAGCTGTATGCACTTATGCATTTGGCATAAATTTTAGCACTTCTAGAACTTGCTAGAAAGCTACTGAATTTAAAAAAAAAGGAAAAAAAAAAAAAAAAGGTGGAAGTATGTAATTGCATCTCCAGATTAAAACTATGCTTCAGTGCATTCTCCTTTCTGGAGCTTTTGTCCTGAAAGGCAAAACACCAATTACTGGCAACACTAGATACTGACATCTACACATCCCTGTAGCACAGAGGATGTGGATGTGTATGCACACACACAATCTTTCACACTGGATCACAACTTCTGGCAGCAGCAAGGAAATTAAATGCAATGTCTTTCGGTTTCAATTTGGTATTATCTGTTATGCATTGGAAAAGACTTTGGGTGCCTGTCCCAATGGATTGCCCCAGTCCCTATCTCACAGGGAGATAGGAAGCAATTGGACAGGATAAGCCAGACTGTTTACTCACAGCACAGAGAGCTCTACCTGGAGTTATGCCTTATGCAAGTGGAATAACTTTTTCCCCTTGCTCACCTCCTGAAGGATACTTTGCTAGCTGCCCACATCAAAGCATTCCAGAGTCTTACAGCAGCAGTGGGAAATGATGTGGAGGCACAGTGGGACCCTTGAGAGGGAAGCCAGCTGGGAGGTGCATCCCTGGGGAGATGGGGGTTTCCCAGGCCTGCTGCCTCCCAGACTGTGCTACCCTCTCCCTGTGTGACTGTCCCCCTTGCCAGAGAGTGGAGGGCAAGGCAAGGGCTCACTGTGTCAGCATCCCTTGCAAAGCTGGAAAAGCCATGACTGGTACATAAACCTAGGCACCAGGAATCAGCCCACTGGGGTAGGGAAGAGCTTGTTTTCGTGTTTCTCCATATCTCTCCACAATAGAACATTCCATCAGCTTTCTTTGCTGTGATTTCCTTTTCCTTTTTATCTTATTTTTTTATTTGTCCAGCTGTTCCATTTTTTGAATCCATGATGTTTCTGAAGTCAAAATAACAAGTGCAAGATAAAAAAAGGTTTGTCTATTCTAGAATATATTCAAGGTGATGAAAGGTTTAGGATTTGTTTTCAAGATGTTCATGATAGAAATTGGCTCTTGTGTTAGGAAACCATGTCGTTTCAGTGGTTTCAGACTCCAGAGCTAGAGAAAAACAGCTTGTTTTTCTTCTATTCAAGGGCAGTGGAACTCAGACACATCCTCCAAACAGAAGGTGATATTTGGCAATGGAGTACTCATGTAAAAGACATGTTCTAAAAATCTTTCAGCCCTTAGGAAAATTAATGTGTCATGTGAGGAGAATTTTTCAAATTTTAGGTTGTTGTTGTGAAGTATTTGCCATAGAGGACCAGAATGGCACATATTTTTTAATAACAAAATATAAACATGTGTTTTTAAAAGTGGCCTGTCTGCACTCCAGTGAACTGGAAGGTAAAAAATTAAGATCTTTTACTGTGACTATGGAAGATGCTTCTAGGTTCTAAATGGGAGAAAAAGCAAGTACATGTCCCCTCTGAGCCTTTCAAAAGATATTAAAATTCCTGGACTTGTCTAGACTTTTGCTCTGTAAACCCCATGTTTCATGCATTTTCATGGATCTACTTGCAAGGAACAAGCCTTATTTAGGGCACTCCTCTCTCCATACAGTTAAAAACGAGTCCCTGGGCAGAAGAATGTTCAGCACAGGTCACTTGCACAAAACCCAAGGTGCCCACAGGTTGCTCATAGCCTTTGTTTTGGTTCTGTAAAAAGGGTCCCATCAGCAGCCCTGTTTAGCTGCACAGCTACATCCTAAGGCACTGCTCCATGCTCTATAGCAGCTGTTTTGTACAATTTGGCTTCCAGTACATTTTCAGGTTCACGGGGTTGGGGATGAATACTTAACTGCTGCACACTCCAGAAAATGACAAAGAATTTTTGCATGTTAATTTCTACAGTGTTGGTCTTTGATTCATACCAGACAGTCTTTGCCTGAACATTCTCACCCTAATTCTAGCTCTCAGGAAACAAAGGGCAGTTTCAGCACCGGATACACAGGGGTTAAAGACCATGGCTGGCTGTGCAGCCATTTCAGGAATGGTAACCACAGTTGTGAATATATTACCTTTTATACTTCCCAGCAGCAAATTCACTGACTGTTCTCAGAGACCTCCTGAGAAACAAGGAGGTGACTTGTCATTTAGCTCCAATATGCAGAAAAGCAATTTTCAACTTTTTTTTTTTTTTCTGCTTTTATTCTTTTTAAATCTTTAACTGGAGGCGTTTCAGAAGTTGTCCTATATGGCATTCCTCTGACATTGTCTCATGTGCTGTTTTTCCTCCAGTGGAAATAAGGAGCCATGATTTCCAACCTTACTACACCTGTAGCTCTCTGAGGACTGGGCAGCTTTGTCGTGGTAGTTGACCATGTAATTGTGCCTCTGATCAGCTCAGCTTTACCCATGTTAGCAGGCTGCTAGTGCCCTGGCTGAGCAAGGGGGGATTTCTTTCCCCCCAGAGCTCCCTCTTGGAGGGGTGTGGCTGGACCCTGGGGTCAGGTCAAACAGCCTCATGCTCCTGAAGCTGGAGTCCCTCCTGTGTCTGGCCACAGGGGTTTGCTGTGCATAGTGGACTGTCAAATTGTAATTTCATACACTCATAAAATGGTTCAGGCTGGCAGGGACCTTAGAGTTCATCTGGTTCCAACCATGGGCATGGAACCCATGGAACACATTTCCGACATGGAGATAGGTTTGTTCTCATGTGATCGGTCTTTTTCTAGTAACTGCTGCCAAAGAGTCTGTGATCTCAATAATGCACTAATTTCACTCAATCCATTTTCACTAAAGAAAAAACAAACAGGATGAGAAATATATGCTGGCAAGGTTTATGGCATAGGTTTATGGAATATCTGGTTCCATGATTCAGCATTTCATAAATAAGTAGTTATTTAAGTCTGTTTTTTCCTTTATAAACAATACTGATGTTTTACTAGCAAATGGTGAACTGTCTTTTTTTCTGTTGACTTTCAGCTGGGGCCAAGGAATTTGCATGAATGCTACTATTTCTGGCATGCCTAGAGACTTTTCTGGTACTGTCAAGAACAAAGTGCTTTAAAGAAATGCACAGCCAAAGATGATTGAAGATCTGTGCACACAACGTGTGATAATTTTTTCAGCAATTAATTTATTAATGTAAGTCACAATAAACAGAGGAAGCCTTTTAGAATATACTACTGGAAATCCCATAGCTATTTCAATTTCATGAACACTTTGCTACGTGAACAGAATTTTCATCAAAATGCATACAATTTTGTGCTGGTAATTCAGTCTGAAAAGCAAGCTCCTGGGTTTTTAACTCTATTCATACATGCCCTTGAAGTATTTTTGGCAGCAATACCAGGAAGACAGTCACTTCACCAGGATCTGATTCTCAGATTCTCTGCTGCATGGCAGAGAATGGGGGTGTTTATGGTGCCTTAATGGCAGCATTGGAGCAGATGCTGTCACATTCCCAGCTAAGGGAACAAGTAATTCCTGTGGCTCACATGGTCCCTCTGATTAAGTGCTTCTTGCTGCTTTCAGGAAGCCATTTGCTGCCCTGCAGTGTTCTCAAATTCGCACACACTTATGTGCATCTCCATTTAATTTGTCTCTCCCCCACTCAGCCTGCTGTGCACCATAATATGGAAGAGCAGACTTAACCTCACAGTGATCTTTTATGGCCCAGTATTTCATAGACAGAGGCCAAGACTGTTGCTTACTCTGATAATTTTAAGACAGATATGTTATCTAGTTTTTCAGCTTTGGATTGATCTTGATTAGGGACAAAAACACCACATGTTGTGATTAGAGTAGTCTTTAACCTCTTTTTGCACAAACAGGGTTAAATATTGAAGGAACATACTTTTCATTTTCTATCATGGAAGTGCAAGTGGTAACAGTGATGACTGTGTAACTCAAGAGGTGAAAAATGACCAATCAGTGATGAGCAAACACAGGCAGAAAACATAAAAGCAGACACATAATTCACAGGCCAGACAGCAAGAGATAAGACACTGCATACGAATAAGAATATGTGGGTGTGAGAGCAAGCAAGTGCTGAAGAAGAGGATCTGACTGCTTCACTGCCAGTGCAATTACACAGAAAGCTCTTCTGCCTGCATTTCGTCAGTAAATACTACCAAGTGGCATGAAACTGGTGAAATAACCCCAAAGGGGTGTATGAAAATGGCAGGCTTGTTTCCAGGCAAAATAAATTACAATGAGTTAAAGATACCAATATACAACATCTGCCTTACAAATAACTAGCTTTGTTCCTGTTTCTTTCAAAGAATGTTTAATTTTGGCTCAGATTTAGATGTTTTTTTTTCTGGTTTCAGCAAACCATTTGAACAAGACTGTGCATTCTGGATATCAATCACCTAGGTATGTTGGCTGACTAAATGTATTATAAATCAAGTAAAAATTGTGCTTCTTCCATTAATTAATACATTTATTTTATTAATATCTCTTTAAAAAAAGTCACTGAAAACCAGAATACTGATATTTCTTGATTTTCATTAACACTCTATGCTGTAATAAAATATAAGACTCTACTTAGTCATTTGGTTTTTACCAAATCCTTATGGGCTGTCACTGCAGGTATGACCTAAAATAAGAGGTTATATATCCCAGGTTCTCAGGACTTTTTTGGTTGGCTGCAAAGAAGAAAATGAGAATACTCTTTCCAAAGCTGTGTGAGAAAGAGGATGAAACACAAAATGAAGAGAAATTGTTTCACCAAGAAGGAGCTTCAAAATTTTAAATTGAATGAAACTTAGTTTTTTAAAGCTTTTCTCCTTTTTTTTCACCAATCTCTTAATGCCAGGTTTTAAGGTTGATCTCTGTGATTCTATGGCTTGGGATCAGCTTTGAAAGTTGTTGTGTACCTCAGCTCTCCTAAGATGCCTTTTCCTACAGGATCAGCACTTAAGCCCAAAAGACCCTCTGACTGTCAGAGGACCTGGACATGGGGAGAACCTGTTTCCAATTGTGTCAGGTTCAAGCTGACTGGATTTTCAGAAGTAACAAACTCACACTTGATCCCCTTAGAAGAATTTTAGATCCAGACCATCAGTGGTTCATTTTTCACCTCAGTCAGTACTTTTACCATTGGTTTTGGTATTGCGTGTCTATACTGCCCTATTTGTTTCAGTATTGGCTGCTGTTTCCTTGCTAATGTATTAAGTTTTTAAAGAACAGATTTAAAAATATGTATTTATTATTGATTAAGCATATTTGTTCTCCCAAAGTCACAAACGGACAGGCAAAGCATTTTATTTGCATGCCCCAAGCATTCAGTGAAAGACAATTTATGAGTAAAATGCATAAACATTTTCCATTGTTCCAGTTGCTGAGCTCTGGGTCACTTCACTAAGTTTGTGGAAGTAGCTGATTGCACTCTAGATTCTTAAAGCCAGACTGGATTTCCTGCTTATCTGTTTACTTTGACCGTCTTTAATGATGCAGCACATATGGCCTGATACAGTAATACTGGGTTACAAGCCATCTTGGGTTTTATGCTGGAGAAAGATTCAGTTACTGTGACTGTTTCACTCAGCCCTTATAAAACTTGGCTGGAGTTTTCTACTGTCTTTCAGAAGAAGCTGAACTCCTTCATTGGAGGCTTTTCCACACTTTTGCAAGTTTCAGGATGACCCCGTATGAATATTTAGTTTCATGGGCTTCATTTGCGCATTTAAGTACCAATACAAATCAGTGCATGCTCAAATGCACTTCTCTGAAGGTTTTAAAATTTTTTTGTTACTATTATTGTGGCTGTTGTTGTTATTGTTCTTCCCAGCTGGTGATACTTACATTGTCTGGATCTGGTTTAGCCAAATGACAAAAAAAACGCATTCTTAAGTGACAAGCTCTCCATCCAGAAGTCTCATGGCTCAGTTTTCCAAATAATGTGCCTCAACTATTCAATTTTTAGTAGTGTGTCTAACATTAGATTTTAAAAATTATTTGTAAATTAAGGAAAAATGGCTGAATTAGATATAAATACAATTTATAAAAATAGGAGTCTCCATCAGGATCCACTGTTCTGGTAATAAAACAATAATAATCAAGCTCCTAACCTAATTTATTCTGCTCAGCTGGATTAAATAATTGTACAGCCTGAAATATCTGACAATTTTTCACTTAATTTTTTGTAATCTGTACAATTTCCATTATGTTTTGAGGATGAGGCTTCATTAAATATCTTTAATATTTTACTTTTGCATTATATCTGTGCAAAACCTAGATTGTCTCTTAATGTGGCCAAGTTGTAGTTTATATTCAAGTGGAAAACAGTGGGGCAGTTAAATGGGAAGTGCATATTATGTTGCCAAACTACTGGGGTAAAGGACATTTATAGCTTCATTTTCCCGTGCTTGCATAGGCAATGTGAGAAGGTGGGTAATTTTCTAAGTAGCCTCAGACTGATGTGATTAGTTGTGAGATACTGCAGATGTATGTAGGAAGTGGGCTTGTGTGTGGGACTGGTTATCCAGTTAATTTCTCTTTCTGCATATGGAATATCCAGGCTGTAGGTGAGCAGGCATGTTTTGCACCTGCAGAAGGCTGTTTGAGAATCCAGGTCAGAATATGTGAGTGAAGTCCATAAAAACACCAAAATATCAAGTAAGTGATATTGTATTTTCCTCTTCCTCCAGAATACTTGGTTCAGTCTACCCCAAATAATTAAACACTCTCTTGGAAAGCATTATTAGTGTTGTAATCATAATTCTATCACAAAATTATAGTATTCAGATTAGGAAACCTAAATATTTTTTTTTAATTAAGAGGAAACTAGATATGATGGAATAAACAAAAGCTGTTAAACTAATTGCAAACTGGAATCTATGTTTGACAGTATGAAAATTACAAGTGAAATACAATTAATGACTAGAATAGTAACAATCTGATTTTACTCACTATGCAAAGTTTAATTTCCTATCTTGTAAATAACAAACTTCATAAACAAGCCAGCAGCTAGATATAATTAATCAGTTTTTACTAATATGCTGGTGGTGGGTGATAAGTTTTAAACAATGTACATAGAAAATGAGTAGAATTGGAAATGAAAAGGATCTATGTTATTCTGTATAAATGAAGAGTAATTTTTTTCCCTTAGCACGCTAAAAAAGCCTTGTGGAGGTCACTGGAGAGGAACAGCATCTCAGTCAGCTCTGGCAACACTCCTGTGGCCAGTGCCATGGTCTCTGCTACTCCATCTGCAAAGCCTCCGATGCTGCTTCTTCAGCTGTGCACATCTCATCAGGGAGCTCCAGGGTGTCTCTGCATGCCGTCAGCAGGGCTGCTGTGCCACTGTGCTGAGAGTGTCCCTCTGCTGAATCACAGCTGCCCTTGCGAAAATTGTTCCGCAAGGAGCCAATCCTAAGGGAAGAATATTTGAGGTTTTTGGTTGATTTGGGCTTCTTTTAAACCCAAGTCAAATGGTCCCAACTGTGAACTCTGGTCAGAGTGAAATTCCAGAAAGGAGCATTTGGAATGGTTGCCTTTACAAAGCCATTATGACAGGGGGATCATAGAACCATTAGGTTAAGAAAGAACCTTAAGATCTCCGAATCCAACCATTAATCCAGCACTGCCAAGTCCAACACTAAATGTCCCTAAGTGCCACGTCTACACATCTTTTTAAATATCTCTGGGGTAGTTATGTCATTGCATGGCCAATTGAAGCATCACCTGAAATATTACTTCAGTACTTGTTAACTCTATTAATCATTGATGTGTACTATAAAGAATATGGGTTTCTTTGATTATGATTGTCATAGTGTCTGAAATCTCATATTTATTTCTAATTATGCGTTTGATAAAGTGGTGGGGTTTTTCCTCTGCTTTGGACTTCTGACATGTTTTAAGAAGAAATGCATCACCAAGGTTTACCATGCTGGAGCCTTGAAGGACCCAATACTATCTGTGGGATGCACAATTATGGTATTACCAAAAGAGATACCATTTATGTTTTCCACATACTATTAAAAATCTTTTCAACAAAACATATTGTCATTGGGCAAGCAAGTGGCCTTAGCTTTTATGACAGCTCTCCTTCTAGAATGCCATTATAAATTAAAGATATTGTGGTACAAGTATTTAACCTAAAATCAACAAGAGGTTGCAAGAAAAAGGTTGCAAGCCCACACACACAAAAAAAAAAATCTCCATATACTGATGACTTTCATTATCAGGAAAAGCTGACTTTAGTGTGAATTCTTTATTAATACTTCTAGTCATCTTGGAGCATTTCACAGTGTTTCACCCATTTTATTTGGAACCCCTAATCCTGATCTGTCAATATATATGAATTTCAGTCCAAGCCATCTTCACCAAAAGGCCATTTTATAATTTTACTCTATTAAATATAATTATTAGAAAATGATACACTCCCTATAGCATACTTCCATGTAAACAAAGCCCTAATAAAGTAGAGAGAGGAAGAACAAAGGCAGCTGGGGAGGTTCAGAATGCAGAGATGATCTGTTTTCTGGTGCCTAAGGCCTGACTGCTCTCTTGTATAACTGACTGTATGAACTCCTGAGCTAAATGTAGGGCCTGACTACACTTAATGAACCTTAGAGTGAAATCAAAAAGACAAATATGGTATGTCTGAATATATGAGGAATTTTTCTTCTTTGAAGACCTTTGGGGACTCTTGCGGTCATTGGAGTTCTCTTCTTCATCTTGATAAAAGCCCTATTGTATCCAGCAGTGTTTGGCTCTGAAACTGTGTTCCAACCTAATATTGAAACCACAAAAGTATGAGTAATCACCCTGTTTTATTCTTTACATTGACCAGTGTCTCTACTATGGCATCACTGAGGGAAAAGGAAACAGTACTCTAAAGACACTAACATAGGTTAGTTTAACTTAATCACTGGCTGCAGCCTACAGTACTCGTCAGAAAAATATATTAATATGGGACTTTACTGTTCTCAGAGTAGCCTTTGTCAGGAGTTTGAAATGTCTGAAACAAGATAGTTTTAATCCTTAAAAGTGTACTTCAGTGTTCCGATCTTCATTTTTGAGAGATTTTCTGAAAAAAAAATCAGCATCCTCTTCTGAAGAAGAGCTGAGAAACCAGTCACATTTAACCATATTTCTTCTCTTGTAAACTACCCCTGGCTGTAGTTGGCACTTATACTCTGTTGGATTTTGCAGCTTTGGCTCTGAAACAGTGATCAGTGTCTATGGACCTATTTTATAAAATTAATTTCAGCAAGGAAAAGAACAGCATATTTGGATTGAAAAAGACCTATTACACTCTTCCCTCTTCTACCTCCTATAAACACAAGTTCATTTCTACAGTACATTGTCTGCTTGCTCCGTAAATCTTTGTTTTAAAATCTATGGCTTTACATCACTGTGAAAACTGCATCAGAGCAACACTTTTTCCTCACACATTTTCCTGAGTCAAAAATTCTTCCTAATCAGCTATGCACATTGATATACTGTTCTACTCTACTATCTTCTGTTTCTGTTCTTTGCAAGGAGCAAGATGTTTTTACAAAACTTTTCCTGTTAGTACCTGTGTGGTCCCCAAAGACAGTGAAAATATGCTCAATTTTTATCTACTTTTCATATATTTTTTCTAAGAAACAGCACAACTATGCTTTCATATTCACAAAAATGTGTGTAATATGACACAAATATTATGACCACAACTTTTTAAGCAACTCACACGTACATATTCCAGTTTCTTCTGAATGCAGAAATATTTGCTTCTACACTTGCCAAACTACACTTTCTTTGTGAAATGTGGCACTGATGCTTTCATAGAGTAATTTATCCAGCTTTCTTTGATCATTTTCACATGTTCCTACATATATACTTGCCTCAAATGCTGTCCCTGAGGTTCATCATGTTGGCAATAAAATAAAATTTTACTGTTTCTGGAGACTTAGATCAGGATTTTTAGTAATTTGCTGTGATCTTCCCCCTGTGGGCATATAGAAGCGCTGTGAAAATGGGTCTACAAATGGTCTTTTAAATCAAATGGATTGATGGTAAATCAATCTGAAATTATAGATAGGTGTAAGTATGCTAATATAAGAACAACAATGAAAATTGTGACAAATTTTGAGTATCTCAGAACAGTAATTTTTGTTAGACATATCTTTATTTTAAAATAAAAAACAGTCTTTCAATCTTAAGGGATTAAACACTCCAAGTTTCTGCCTTTATTGATTTCATCTATAGTCTTCTGTCATATGCTTTGAAATGCTGACCTGCAGCATTTGCAGAGTAACTGTGTCACAGAAACAGCACTCACTGAGCCTGATTTCCAAGAATGGTTGTAGACAAAAGTCTTCCTTATTTGCACAAATAGATTTCATGACTGTGTGCACAAACTGTATCCTAATGTGGCCACGGAGGCAGCATTCACAGTGCCAATCCGTGCAGCACTACAGAAGCATTTGGAGAGCAAATGAATGTGTACTAATGTCTGACACTAACAGCAGATGGACTTCAGGGGAAATTTACTTTACAGCTTTACAAATATTGTTAGGCTTTGAAGGAGAATGTGTTGGGGCCCCACTCCAGGTTTGGTTTCATCTGAAAGAAATTTTGTGTGAGTATTTCAGAGCCTGGTCTCTGTGTGAATGTAACTGGTAAGTGAGGATGATCAAAATTCATCTCAGAGGTACACTCCTGAATTGAAGTAAGACTGAAATTCAGGACATCCAGAGCTAGTCAAGCATTCAATTGTTCTTTTTAGCATACTTGTCATACCTTGTTCAGGAACATAATGAGTCACAAAAGCAAAATATTCCAATGCCGTTTGCTTTACTTTGCCATATGTGGAGGTTTGTTGGTTTTTTGTTTGTTTGGTTGTTTTTTTTTTTTTTGCTTTTCTTTTTGTAAATTGGTTTGCTTTATTTTTTTTTTTTTGTTTGTTTTAATTACATATTCTCCAGTGTCTTGTCTTATATGGAAGAAAAGAGAAATGCCCTAAGGGACCTAGATTGCTATTGTGATCAGCCAAATTTCTGGATGAGTGCTTTGAAAAATAGCTCTTCCATTGCTAAAACAATGTGTATACTCCTCAGCAATATTGTGCAATTCATCAATTCTGCATAGGTTTATAGGTTGAAAAGAAGTCTAGAGAGAAGGAGCAAACAGAAGAAGAGGACTCTAACTAGGCAATAAAAGTTATTAAGTCCCTTTAGTACTCACAATTTGAAATGTGCAGTGTGAGATGTGTCATTTAGTCACACATGCACTGTCAGAGCACCCTCAGGGAGCATTAGTCTGGCACTGAAAGTTACCTTAGCAATTCTGCTCTGAGAGAGGAAGAAAAGACTGAGCCAGATGGGGAACGTAAAACTTTTGCCAAATCATCTCCAACTTCAGCGGATTTTTTTTGATGGAAAAAGAAGAGGAAAACAAGGGAGAAGAGGATGCTCACAGAGGTTCTTTGCATATTTCAGAATCGATTTTGTAGTGTTAATTAAGCTTGTATTTTCATTCATGGTTTATATGAACTAGGAGAATACTAACTCCTACTTGGTTTCCCTTCCTTTTAGCTGAAGGAAAAGAAAGCAATTTTCATACCACAGTTCTTGAATTTGAAAAAGAAAACCAGAGTGGTTTTTGTCAAATTTAATGAAGTGCTAATCAACAAATCATTCAAGCTTTGTCCTAGTGAGTATATACTTCAGTCTTATCCTGAATCATGGCAAATAAGTTGTGGTGCTCAAAATGCAGCATATCATTACATGTGCTTTTTATGGTAATAATAGATCTTCTCAATGAGACAGCATCTTTTCTATTTCAGCACTGAATATTATGTGGGAAGTTCATAAAATTATAATTTGATTTTAATATTAACAGCACAATACATTTTAAATTCACTAGAATCTTTTTAAAACCAGACAAATATCCTTTGCATACAGTTATTATTTTTTATGATCTTCAGGACTTCCTAAAAGTATAAGAAAATCCAGCCAAAAAAGCCCTAAAAAAAAAGAAAGTCTTGCTGTTGACACAATGAATTTGGGCTCAGTCATGAGCTATCTTTTTAAGTGCTCACCTTTCCAAAGAAGGCACAGTGTGCAAGGCAATCAGTGCTGAGTTTCTCAGCTCTTCTGTAGTTGGCCCCATAGGAGAAATAGAAGTTCTGAAATTGTCCTGATTTTTCCATATAAATACCAGAGCATATGGAGACATGTATCTGAGCCTGTGCATTCCGACTCTTTGGCAGACAATACTTAAACTTCAAAGTCTACAGTGACTCATAAAGATTATTTTTAAAAAGGAGGAATCTTTCTTAATTGAAACAAATGTAATCAAAAATTGGAAAGCCTCACTGCCTTTAATAGAATGTGTTGATCAGGAATCACTAAGTTAAGAAATAAAGATAATATTCTGCTTTTCCCATGGACTGTCTCCCCTGGAGGACCATGGGTCATTTTTGTATTGTATCTGTTTTGCTAGCATTTAGTCCAATTATAACACCTTCACTCAGTTCTCCAAACACCACGAAGCAATGGCAGAAAAAAGAATGCAGATTATAGAAGACTGATAGAATTGTTGCTGGAGATGCATTTACAGAGGCTTTGAGGTTTCATCTGAAATCCCTCTAGGGTACTGTTTGAACTTGATCCAGTTCTGCCACATCTTGACCATAGCCTCATTGTGTCTTTCTCAAGCTTTCAGCATTAAATTTTACAGCAAACAAACAAACATACACCCAAAGCATCTCCACTGTCTCATCTTTCCAGAATGACAGACCATGTACACTAGATGGTTCATATTTTACAGTAATTTAATTATTTCTAAAAACATATTGTCTGGAACTCTGATAATATTTGTCATTCATAATTTAGAAAGTAGTAAAGAATTCAGATTTCGTTGTGTATATTCTGCCGTTCTTCTTGAGATTATGATTTTACTTCTTCCATACCCCCACTAACATGTCTAGAAATGGTTTTATGTAAATTTTAGAAATTATAATCTTAATGTTTTATGTCATTGCAATGCACAAACCTGCATGTTCAGTAAGATCAGAATCAGGACCTTTATTTTTCCAAAGGAAGTGAAATCTTGGTGCAAATAACACAAAGGTACAAAAATAAAAAAAAAATATATAAACATATGTATACTTTGTCCTACTGTGTATATAATGCCACTGTGTCTTTCTTTTCTCAGTCCAGTCCAGCATGCAGGCTTCTCACTTTCAACCTCAGCTACAAGCAGGAGTAAAGTCAGTTTCTGTGGCAACTTTATCATACTGGTGACAAAAGTTAGGAGGGAAGATGTGCACAGGAAAGAGAACTGAATTTATAGTATGGGGCTACCTCTATCGTCAGCACACAGCACGGCCCAGTGTTCAGGGCATATGGACTACTCAGTGTCATTTAATGTGTTAAATTGGCAACATTTTAGACCCTATCCATGCCAAAAACTCTCTGTTCAGATACAGAAAGTATCTGAAGACAGCACAGGGTATGGGAAGGAAAATGGGTTTAGTGGTTTGGATGTAAAATGTGGTGTTGCTTGAACTTCATTTACTGTAGTAGGTGCAGACCCAGTCTTTATATTTAACCCTCTGAGTGTTGGGTACCACTGAGGAGGAGGAAACAGATATGATGAGATGTTAACAGATGTGATTAGTTTTAGTCATAGATTTGATTGAGAAGGAGCTGCAAGAAGTAAGATATTAAAGTTCATAAACAGCAATTTATAAAATCCATTAACTGTTGCTATTTTTACTACAGAAATAGCAGAGCTCTCCTGGAGACTGGAAATGCCTTCAATTTTGAACATGAGACCAGAGGACGACAAGTATATTGATTTTTTTTCATAATTGTAGTATACTTTCAGATTACCCACATCCATCAGGTTGGAGCTTGACTACCTTTCTCTTAAGACAAATTAATATGCCCAAATTTTTCAATAAGTTTGTGAATATGAAATAACTGCTATGAAAAAGAAAAAAGAAGATTAATTTTGTATTATAAGACTGTAGGTTAGCTTGATCGTGTTGACATACACTGTACTCATAGAATCATAGAATTTTTTGGGTAGCATGGGACCTTTAAAGGTCAGCTAATCCAAACCCCTGCAGTGATCAGTACAATGTAACATGCTGACACTAGCAGCATGCTTTGGATCCTCCTAATTTTTGATGATTGGCAAGGGGTGTATACCTTTGTCAATAGCCAAAAGATTCATTACTCATTTTCCCTGGTTAAATTCTCTAACAGTAATAATATACATTGAACAAACACATTCAAAGAATATTCACAGTGCACACAGGTTTAATCTAAATTTCTCTAAATATTTCCTAGCAGAACTCTGTTTTGTGTTCTTGATCACGATAAAAAACATGTTTCCTTTTGAATTGTAAAACTCTGAATACTCTTTAAGTATTTTCATATGAGATAAAACAGCAGGGTTTTCTTCTCACAGTCTCATTCTCAGAAATGGTTGAAATACTCAGATTGAAATATTAGGGGGGAGAAAAGGTACAATTCAGGTAATAAGCAGAATAAGGAACTTTCATTTAAAACTGCTAACAATTAGAAAAGTTCTAAGTAATTGGAAGTAACGGCTTTGCACATGAAGCAGAGTTCTGTTCAAGTTTGTCATGGACAGCTTTGCCTATAAATAGTGATGCATGAGACGTTTTTATTTTTGTCAAGTATCTCATATGAATACTTGCTAAATTGTTGGTATAATTCCCATCAGCAAGTTGGTTAGAAACTGACTAGTGCTATTTGTTTCCTTGGGTTATGTGACTAATTTTATTATTCATTATTTATAATAAAAACAATTATGCTCTAAGCCAGGGCTCTGTAGGTATGGCCAAGTACTCACACACTTTGCTCATAGCAATTTGCAGACTAATATGAAACAGGTCCCCACAAGCCATGGCAACAATAGCAGACAGTGATCAAACTGCACATGTCAGTGAACACAACAGCACTAAGAATATGCTTTCATGGTGTCCTGGCTCTGTTTCTCTGCCAGTAGTTGATCTCCGTGACACAAGTTCAGGCTTAGACCGTAACTTGGGAGTACTAAATCACTGAAGATTGTTTTAGAGGCAAATAAATCCAATGTGTGCATGTTCATGAATAGATACACGGGCATACCATGTCTCAGGTGCTTTCTGAGCTCCGCTTTGGCGTTGCAGTGCTGGCAGGAGGCACTGCAGCAGCCGCAGCTCCTCGGCTGCAAGCACAGGAGGGCGAGGCTGCAAATGCTCTGCCATCAGCAGTTCCCAGGGTTTGGATGTAACTCAATAACAGAGACTTGTTTATAGCTCAGACTTAAAAGCATTTACACAGGCTGTCTGAAGTTGCTGAGGATTCACAAATTTTCCTGCAATAGCTGTTGTCACAGTGACTGCAAGTAAAATAGTCATATGGGTAATAGCAAGATCCTCATTCTTGAAATTATTTGTATCTATGTATTCAGCTACCTTAAAATAACGTATGCAATGAGTAAACCATAAACTTTTATATGGAGAAATTAATGAGCCATGTGTTTTAGTGATGTTGCAACCTACTTGCCCCGTAATTAAGATTCAGCAGGGATTACTATTAAGAGAAATCAGTTTCCTGAGGAGTAAAGACAAAATCGTTCTTTTGGCTTGTGGTCCTGATGTTACATATGAACTTTGTCCTCGTAGAAGGCTCATGCTCTTCCTGGCAATACCCATGCTGCTTGATCAAAGGTGACTTTCAAATTCAATGAATAACATCTGCTATGCAGGCTCATGATCTCACGGAATCACAGATTAATGAGGTTGGAAGAGACTTCTAAGATCATCAAGTCCAACCTATGCCCTAACACCTCAACCAGACTATAGCACCAACTGCCATGTCCAGTCTTTTTTTAAACACATCCAGAGATGGTGATTCTACCATCTCCTTGGGAAGACAATTCCAGTACTTTATTATTCTTTCAGTGAAAATTTTTTTCCTAATATCCATTGTATACCTTCCCTGACATGGCTTGAGGCTGTGTCCTCTTGTTCTGTCAGTTGCTGCCCAGTGGAAGAGATCGATCCCCACCTGTCTACAACCTCCCTTCAGGAAGCTGTAGAGAGCAGTAAGGTCACCCCTAAGCCTCCTCTTCTCCAGGCTAAACAACCCCAGCTCCTTCAAACATTCCTCACAGGGCTTGTGCTCCAAGCCCCTCACCAGCATTGGTGCCCTCCTCTGGATGCACTCAAACATCTCAATGTCCTTCCTAAACTGAGGGGCCCAGAGCTGGACACAGCACTCAAGATGCGGCCTCAACAGTGCCGAGTACAGGGGAAGGGTGACCTCCCTGCTCCTGCTGGCCACACAATTCCTAATGCAGGCCAGGATGCCACTGGCCTTCTTGGCCACCGAGGCACATTTCTGGCTCATATCCAACCGGCTGTCAACCAGCACCCCCAGGTCCCTTTCTGCCTGGGCACTGTCCAGCCACACTATCCCCAGTTTATAACATTGTAGGGGATTTTTGTGGCCAAAATGTAGAACTCGGTACGTAGACTTATTAAACTTTATGCTGTTGGACTCTGCCCATCCATCCAACAAATCTAAGTCTTTCTGCAGAGCCCTCCTTCCTTCTGACAGATCAACACAAGCTCCCAAATTTACTAATGAAGGACTCGATGCCCTCATCCATGTAGTCTATAAAAATATTGAACAGAACTGGTCCCAGCACAGACCCCTGAGGGACAGCACTGGTGACTGATCCCAGCTGGATGCAGCACTGCTCACCAGCACTCTCTGGGCCCAGCCATCCAGCCAGTTCCTAACCCAGCGAAGAGTGCTCCTGTCCAAGCCATGGGCTGCCAGCTTCTCCAGGAGTGTGCTGTGGGAGACAGTGTCAAAGGCCTTGCTGGAGCCCAAATAGACAACATCCACAGCCTTTCCTGCATCCACCAGATGGATCACCTGGTCATAGAAGGAGACCAGGTTGGTCAGACACGACCTACCCTTCGTAAACCCATGCTGGCTGGGTCTGATACCCTGGCCATCCTGTAAGTGTTGTGTGATAGCACTCAGTATGAGCAGCTCCATTATCTTACCTGGTACTGAGGTCAGGCTAACTGGCCTGTAATTACCAGGATCCTCCTTCCTACCTTTTGGCCAGTTTCCAGTCGTCTGGAACCTCCCCAGTGAGCCATGACTCTTGATAAATGATGGAGAGCGGCTTCGCAAGCTCCCTCATCACCCTGGGATGGATCCCATCTGATCCCATTGATTTATAAATATCCAAGTGTCCCAGTAGTTCTCTAACTGCCTCCTCTTGGATAACAAGAGGACCATTCTGCTCCCTGGCACCACCTATCAACCCCTGAGGACAGTTGTCTTGAGGACAAGCTGTCTTACCACTAAAGACTGAGGCAAAGAAGGCATTAAGCATTTCTGCCTTTTCCTCATCTTTAGTTACTAGGTTGCCTGCCTCCATTCAATAAGAAACAGAGGCTTTTACCATTAATATATTTGTAAAAACTTTTTTTGTAATTTTTAACAGAAGTTGCCAGGTTAAGTTCAAACTGAGCTTTGGCCTCCCTAATTTTTTTTTCTACATGCCCTAGTAGCTCCCTTAAATACTTCCTGAGAAATCTGTCCCTCCTTAAAAAGATGATACATCTTTTTTTTTATTTCTAAGTTCTTTCAAAACCTCATTGCTCATCCGGACTGGACGTTTGCCTCGTCGACTCATCTTTCAGCACACAGGGACAGTCTGTTCTTGAGCCCTCAAGATCTCAGCTTTGAAGCACACCCATCTCTTCTGGACTCCTTTGTTTTCAAGGGCTTTTTCCCAAGGAACTCTCTGAATAAGTCTCTTAAATAGGCCAAAGTCTTCCCTCTGGAAGTCTAACGTGGGGATCTTATTTGTATTCCTCCTGATTTCACCAATTATCGATAATTCTATAATTTCATGATCACCGTGCCCCAAGCGGCCTCCAACCTCCACATCACCCACCAGTGCATCTCTATTTGTTTACAACAGGTCTAACATAGTCCCTCCCCTGGTGGGCTTGCAACAAAAAGTTATCCTCCACACACTCTAAAAACTTTCTAGACTTCTGTTTTTCTGCTGTATTAAGTTCCCAGCAGATGTCTGGTAGGTTGAAGTCACCTACAAGAACAAGGGCTGATGATCCTGAAACATTGTTCAGTTGCTTATAGAATAAGTTTCCCGTCTTTTCATCCTGGTTGGGTGGACGATAGCAGATTCCCAGTAGGATGTCAGCCTTGTTGGCCTTCTCCTTAATTCTTACCCACAGGGACCCAACTTCATCATTAGTTTCAATACCTATGACATCCAAAACCTCCCTAATAAAGAGGGCCACCCCTCCACCTCTTCTCCATTTTCTGTCCCTTCTGAAGAGCTTGTAGCCATCCAGTGCAGTGCTCCAGCTATGTGAGTCATCCCACCACGTTTCTGTGATGGCAACTATATCATAGTTCTGCTGTTGCACCATGGCCTCCAGCTCTTCCTGTTGGTTACCCATGCTGTGTGCATTGCTATACGTGCGCCTCAGCTGGGCCACTGATTTCTCCCCTAACACAGTCTTACCATCCTTGGGCCTGCTTCCAGACAGCCCAGATGTATCCCCTTCCCCCTTCAGACCTAGTTTAAAGCCCTCTCAACAAGGTCTGCCAGTTCATGAGCTAAAAACCTCCTGCCCTTAACAAAGAGATGTATCCCATCTGATTCCAGTAGAGCAAGTACCATAGAAGTTGCCCCATGATCCAAGACTCTGAAATTTTGCTGATGACACCAACCCTTGAGCCACTTGTTAATGATGTGAGTTCTCCTATTTATTTCATTTTTGTTTTCTGTCACCGAAGGGACTGAGCAGAACACTACCTGTGCACCTGTTCTATCAACCACTTGACCCAGTGCCCTGAACGCCCTTGACACTCCTCTTTTCAATCTGGACTATCAGCAGTGGGTAATAATCAGAAGACTGAATCAGCCTGGGAAGTCTCTCAGTGATATTTCATACCTGGGCCCCAGGGAGGCAGCAGACTTCCCTGTGGGATGGGTCTGGTCGACATACGGGGCCTTCTGTTCCCCTCAGAAGGGAATCACCCACTACGATTACCCTTCTTTTCTTCTTGATGTTAGAGGTGGTGATCCATTTTTTAGATGAGTCATAATTGGGAGTCTCATTGGGCAGATAATTTTCTTCTAAATCATCTGGTTGGTTCTCTAGATCCAGGGCCTCATACCTATTCTGAAGTGTCACCTGGCTAGGGGATGGGGGTAGGAGGGATTTTTGTTATTACCTCCCTGAGCAGGGATGCATTTCCACTCCCCTTCATCTATCAGGTGCCTCTCTATTGCCTGGGAGTGAGAGGCATAGGAGTCCTCTGACTCTTGGTGGGCCTCCCTTAAAGTTGTAAGGGCTGAACTCTACCAGTCTATTTCCCTTTCACTATCCCTGATACTCCTTACTCTTTCAACTTCCTCCCTAAGCTCGGCTACCAGCAAAAGGAGGTCATTCACTTGTTCACACTCTAGGCAGGCCTCCTCCACAGCACCCCCTGAAACCATGGATAAGCTCAAACACTCCACACAGGAATGGGTCTGTACAGACACATCCTTTTTGAAGGGCTTTTGGTCACATACACTTGTACCAACCACAGATTTCGCCTGGGTTAAAACCATTACTAGGAGAAAGCCTAAAATCAAGCAACCAATAAAAACACCTCACCTGACTAGCAAGAACTTGCAACCCTGCCTACTTGCCCTGCTTACCCGAACTGCTGCACAAACTGCTGTGACCCTGTTTGCCTGCTCCAGGTCACTGCTCTCCCCAGAGGCCTCTTATAATCAGTCACTCAGGGACAGGGAAGCTCCACCTCTTGCTCCTGAATAGCTCACAATTTGTCACATTGGGCATAGTCTTGCTCAGATAAGATCAGAATTCTTTGAAGAAATAGCAGCAATAGAGATTTGAAACAACATTTGTCATATTCTCCAAATGAAGCAAGCTTGGGTGGACCAGAATACTGACTAGGATATCTTTAAAGCTTACTTAAGTGATACCTGCATTGAAAAGCAGGAGTCATTCCTGTGTGGTCTTGTTTACTGTAATTCCTAGAAAATTGTGATTGCATACAGTCATGGTGACTGACCTAAGTTCTTTTGGTGTCAGAACTGAAGTTAGTGGAGATCTTTAGATCAGCACAATGCTAAGGGAAATGCTGCCAGAGATTCTTTACTCAATAAGAATTAAACAGGGCCACTTTTGCTCATTGCCACAATTGTAACCCAGAGTGCCCCAAATTACAGGTTCTGAAACTGCCTTATTTCACTTTCTGCAGATGTATTTTCTTCCTCAGGTCTATAAGAAAATCTAAGTAGTGGGTTACTTATTTGTTTTAATTGCCTGTGGACCAGCAAATTTGGGGAAAACCATCAGAGAAACAGAGTATGTTTTAGGGACAGTTACAGATAAAGAATACTTTTATGAGGGCAGGCATGCTAAACACAAGAGGTTGCCAAATACTA